GATGTATCTCGCTGCATTGCGCGAGTACGCTTCTAGTATATATATATATATACACATACATACAAGACTCATCTGTTTTTGAAGATCAAACACATTGAATTCCTTATTGGAGATTATACATCAGCATCATCAGTACACCAGAAAATTAAATGGCAATGAGACCGACAGGCGGTAGAGGCCGTCCCAACCGTGAGCCGCGGTTGATTGTCGGCCGTGTTTACGAACCTTTCAAGCCCGTGTGTGAATGGAGACAAGGAGATGCTTATGATACTGTTCTTGTTTATCTCCCTGGTACGTAATTTATATAATTAATTTACATGCATTTTTCTCCTGGAAATTTATCAACGAGTCTTCATTTGAAGGTTTCCARMAAGAAYRCWTAAAGGTTACGACCRAASACTTGAACAYCGTTAGSGTTCGTGGGGAGCGTTTAGTTGCAGRAAACAAATGGAGTCGTKTTCWGGAAGATTTTCGAGTTCCAAGAAACTGCGAAATGAGTGGGGTTCGTGCAAGTTTTAATGGCGGTATCCTGAATATTACCATGCCTAGGAAGATCATCACTGCACCACCACCACCACCACCTACCACCACCACTCGAGTTCCCCATAAATCCAAAGAACCACCCTTTAGAAGAGAAAAACAAGAAGAAACTTTGGTCCAGAAGCCCAAAGAAGATTCAAAAGAAAGAGCGACTTCTTCGAATGCTGCTCTACAGAAGCCATTAGACGAAGGCAGCACGAGCACTTTACCACCACAACCACAACCAACGCCAACAAAACAAGAACCAGCAAAAACTGCGGGTCCAGAAGCAGATGGAGAGTCTACGTTTGGATTGAAAAACGATGGTACTGTTGAGAAAGGAAAAACTAAAGAAGCAGTAGTCGGATCCCAGGGTGGTAAAGTGGAGGAGAATGCGGTGGTGAAAGGTGGCGATGGGTGGAGAGGGTTGAATGAAGACAGGAAGATGGTGGTGAACATGGGTGTGGGTGTTCTTGTGATTGTGGCACTTGGGATTCATGTTTCTTACACCATTGGCCTCATTGGCAAAGGCAAATAACTAATCGGAATGCAATCATGTAATTTGGGTATGTATATGTATATGTATATGTATATATGTATATGTATAAATGTATGTATGTAAATTTAAATGGCCGGTTGTCCGTATATAAAGATATTATGAGTTGAATGGCAAGTTGTTTTTTTATTAACCTAGATATCCAACCCGCGATGCCAGCCGACTAATCTCAGGGCGACCACCTGCTTTGCAAATAGACCGGAGTAACCGCATTTGAACCTCCGTGGCCACAAGGGATTTTTATTCCTCCTTGGATTTGAACCTGGACCTCCCGGTACTTTTGACCTTTGAAGCCAAGCTCAAACCAATCAAGCACCACCATTGTAGTTATATCTATATTACTGATGCTGAAATAATAAATGGTATCCACAAAAAGTGGTTCTTATTACTACCATTGTAGAATTTTATGCTACCTCGTAAATTGTTGACTTAACATTGATGTGACAAAAAAAACATACAAAAATGTCACTCCATTGAAGATACTTTTAGGAGACGTTTGGTTCACAAAATGTTGTATGAAGAATTGGAATTTATCAAACAAATTTGATTTTAAAGGAACCAGGAATGGAATTCCATCACATGTTTTGTTTGAATGAATTTGGAATGGAATGTGTTAAACGATTTGGAATTTGCCTGTTTGGTTGGTAGAATGTTGCTTCAGACTTGGAATGAATAAACGATAAACGACCACAACACCTCTTTTAAAACAATGGTGGTCGGCTATGGTTCAGAACGGTGGTTGTTATCGGCGGTGGTTGTCATTTTGAGAAACTATGATGAAATGAAATTGAATTTCTTCTAAACTATGATCGAATGACAAAATCCATGAATAATGAAATGTGTAGAACTCAATTCCATTCCACAGGTAAACCAACGTCTAAATAAAATTTAGTCAACAAAATTGATAATTCTGATTTCTTCAGATTCCGTTGGGAGTCCTACAAACCAAACGTCCCCTTTTAATAATCCGTTCAAGAATTTCACCAGTACCTTCAAAAGTGCCGAGAATTGTGCAATCATTCCATACATACAACAACTTCGAGTAGATTTGGTCGTACCAAACAAACTTAGGGGTGTTTGGCATTACTTATAAAAACAACTTATTGACTTATTCCAGTATGGCACCGGTAATAAGCATATTTGAGTGTTTGGATAAACAGTTTATACCCGTGTCAAACCGATAATAATAAGTTTTTGAAAAAATTAAATTATTCTAGCCTATAATAAGTTGATAAATTTTCCAATTTTCCTTCGATAAATGTAAATATCAATGAAAAGTCAACTCTACACACAAAAGCCTACATTCGCCGTTTTTGGATTATTTTCTTGGAAAACCCTGGTGGGTGAGGTTTTTGGATCTTCGCGTAACACCAGTCTACCATTCTTCCATTTCCGTTATAGGGTTTACTCCTATAAACCTCATCCTCATCGTCTATTAACAGAAAAGGTTGTTGAATTGATCTATTCACAGGTTCAGTTATCGACCATGGTCGGAAAAGTAGACGCCTTGAAGGGCGGTCTGAAGTCTTCGCAGTCGCCGGCGTCCAATCAAGCTACCTCCAAACCCGATCTGGCATCTATGTCCACGACATTCTCATTCAAATCTCTAAAGCTGAAAACGAAGCAACAAGAACTGTTGATCCGATTAACGATCCTCGGTCTCGTCTACATTTTAGCTTTCATCACTCGCCTTTTCAGTGTTCTCCGTTACGAGAGTATGATTCATGAGTTTGATCCTTATTTCAACTACAGAACCACTCTCTACTTAACCGAAAAGGGTTTCTACGAATTCTGGAATTGGTTCGACTCGGAAAGTTGGTACCCACTCGGCCGAATCATTGGTGGAACGCTCTATCCTGGTCTCATGGTCACCGCCGCTATCATCTACTGGGCCCTCAAATTTCTCCGATTTGCAGTTCATATTCGCGAGGTCTGTGTGCTAACTGCTCCTTTTTTCGCATCCAACACCACCATTGTTGCGTATTTCTTTGGGAAAGAGTTGTGGGATTCAGGTGCTGGTCTTGTTGCAGCCGCTTTGATCGCGATTTGTCCTGGGTATATTTCAAGATCGGTGGCTGGATCATATGATAATGAGGGGGTGGCCATTTTTGCATTGTTGCTTACTTTCTATTTGTTTGTTAAGGCTGTGAATACTGGATCGCTTGCTTGGGCTCTTGCTTCGGCTTTTGGGTACTTTTATATGGTGTCTGCTTGGGGTGGTTATGTGTTTATTATCAATTTGATTCCATTATATGTGTTGGTGTTGTTGATTACTGGGAGGCATTCAATGAGGCTGTATGTGGCTTATAATTGTATGTATATAGTGGGAATGTTGCTTGCAATGCAGATTCGGTTTGTTGGGTTTCAGCATGTTCAGTCAGGGGAACATATGGCTGCCATGGGAGTGTTCTTCTTGATTCAGGTATGGCTTCCACTGCTCAGCAGCTTACAAGTTGGCTTGTTTTTTGAGCTTTTGAAAAGCCTCTTTTGATTAGAGCTATAAGCTAGCTTTTTGAAATGCTGCTTGAAGCAGCGTTTCAAGAAGCTCCGGGGCTTTTTCCACTTTTTATGCTGATCTCATGAAGTCTATTATGTTGGTAGGTATTTTACTTCTTGATTTGGGTAAAGCACATGTTAAATGATGTAAAGATGTTTCAAGCCCTTTTGAGGATCGGTGTGACATGTGCGGTAGGTGTGGGTGCTATTGCTCTCGGAGTTGGCACAGCTTCTGGCTATATCTCACCATGGACAGGCCGATTTTACTCTTTACTGGATCCAACATATGCTAAAGATCATATACCCATTATAGCTTCCGTCTCTGAGCATCAGCCTACTGCATGGTCGTCTTTCATGTTCGATTTTCATATCCTGCTTTTCCTATTTCCAGCCGGTCTATATTTCTGCTTCAAACGGTTGTCAGATGCCACGATTTTCATTATAATGTATGGTCTCACGAGTATGTATTTTGCTGGTGTGATGGTTCGGCTGATTCTTGTTGCAACACCTGCAGTATGCCTTATAAGTGCTATCGCAGTCTCGGCTACGATAAAGAACTTGACCCATGTCGTGAGGGGAAAGACCACCATGTCTTCCAAGGGAACGAGCAGCACAAAGGGACTATCTAAGGTGAGAAGCTATTTTGTTGGGTTGTCTTCTAGGATATAAAAGTTGCATTGTGCTACATCATTATGTTAGTGTCTTTAGGGTGCGATTGGTATGCAGGACAGGACAGGACATGACAAAATAAAAACTTGTTTCACGTTATGCATGACATTAGACTGGTACACGGCAAGACTGAGTGGGACAAAATTGCATTTTTCTGTTCAATATCTTGGATTCATGTATATTGTAGGGGTGATTGAACGAACTGAAAGCCCCTTGTTTTCAATTTTCCAAAACAAGTGGTAGTTGTCTTGGTTGGCATGTACTTATTATATTTTGGGCAAAAGTTATTACTGGCAACCCCAACCGGCCCCACACGGAACCTGCCTCCAAGGACACCAATGTGAGGGGGCATGTACTTATTAGATTAGGGTGCGTTTGGTGCATGCCACAGAAGAAAAACTTGTTGTCCCACGCTTGGCCACATTAGACGTGATGGGTGGGAGAAAAATGCATTTTTTTCCCGTCCCACCAAAATAGGTGTAAATTATCAAGCTACCCATGTCAAATTAAAACTTCAGTGTTTATGTTATGATAGTTTTGTGCATTTTTGGCTTTATATTGGTTGCCCAAGTAGTTTATCATCCTGTATCTTGAGTTTTCTTGTAATATTTTTTTGCAGCAACAAGCTTCACTGGATCAATCTATTCCTTTCCTGAAAAATGGTGCTACCGTGTTGCTTCTTGGTGCTTTTTATTTACTAAGCAGATACGCTATCCATTGTACCTGGGTCACATCGGAAGCATACTCATCTCCTTCAATTGTTTTAGCCGCACGGGGTGCTCATGGTCAAAGAKTTATTTTTGATGATTACCGTGAAGCATACTTTTGGCTTCGACAGAATACTCCTTCGGATGCTAAAGTAATGTCTTGGTGGGATTATGGTTATCAA